ATTTAAATGGGACCGGGAAAATAGCTCAATAGAATAAGCGCTTCCCTGGCAAGTTCAGGGGCCTGAGTTCAATCCCCGGTTCCGCAAAAAAAAAAAAAAAAAGATTTAAAAAGTCACTCTTCTGCTGTAGAAAAGTCACCTGAAATCCCAGAATTTGGCAGGTGAGGCAGGAGTCAGTTTAAGATCATTCTGAACTACACAGCAAGACCTTGTCATAAAAAATAAAAATAAAAACACAATAAAATAAAAAAAGACTTCATATTTCACAATTAGTTTTATATAAAATTGGAAAATGCTAAAAATAACCTTCCCAAAAAAATCTCCAATCCTGATCTTCAGGCTCAGAACATAGCTCAGATAATGGAGCTTAATCTAGCATACACCCAGAAAGAATGGCTATCATAAAGAAATCAACCAACAACAAATGTTGGAGAGGCTATCGGGAAAAGGGAACCCTTGGGGCTGGTGAGATGGCTCAGTGGTCTAAAACACCTTCTTAGAACAAGCTTAGCAAAGCACAGGGACTGCGGTTCAATCCTCCAGCACCACATGCCAGCCAGCCCCACCCCCTGGTGGGCTGAGCTGGCCACACACACACACACACACACACACACATAAATAAAAAAATACTAAAAAAAAATTTAAAAAAAAAGAAAAGGGAACCCTTCTCCACTGTCAGTGGGAGTGTAGACTGGTACAACCATTATGGAAATCAGTGTGGAGACTCCTTAAAAAACTAGGACTGGAAATTCCATTCAAGCCTGCTATCCCCCTACTGGGAATTTTCCCGGAGGAACTGAAAGCATCATATCATAGTGATATATGCATACCTATGTTTATAGCAGCACAATTTGATAGCCAGATCTTGGAAACAACCAAGATGCCCATCACATGTGGAATGTTGAAAAAGATGTGGTACTTTTATATTATGGAGTATTACTCAGCTATAAACAATGATAAACTCAAAGCCTTCATATTTAAGTGGATATCACTTGAAAATATACCTACAAGCAAAATAAACCACACCCACATGTGTAAATATCGTATTGTCTCCCTAATATTAGAACTTAAAAGAGGAATTACATATAGAAAGGTACAACACAAATAAAAGGAAAGCGAGAACTTGAGGATTGGACAATGAGGATTGGGCAAGAACAAAAGCTGAGAAACATGACAGGGGCAAAGGCATGCATCTGTACGCATGAGATGGGTGGGGCAGTGATCCGGGGGTACATCAGCAGGTTTTTGAGACTAGTGATTGGCTGGTGAGATTCTCACCCTGACTAACTCTATATGCTGGTGCCTGTGAGCCAGACGGCTGCACCAAGGATGGTGATGTGTAATAGCAGGGTCATGCTCTGCGTGCCTGCCATCCTGGTCTTCTAAATATGTACTTCTTGGGGCCGGGCAGATGGCTCAGTAGGATAAGCACTTGACTGGCAAACGCAAGGATCTGAGTTCAATCCCCGGTTCCGCCAAAAAATAAAAAATAAAAAATAAAATAAATATGTACTTCTTGTCATGACATACCATTTCTTGCCATAATGTCTCTCAAGTAAAGGTTTTTGTTTTTGTTTTTTTTTAAGGGTGATAAATGAAAAAAAAAAGTCGCAAGAATAAGAAAAAAAAATGTCACAGGTCTGTCCTGTTACAATTCTGTATATGGTTAAATTTCTAAATTTCTTTGTAAAATTATGTAAGTGCTTATTTTTACCTTTATAAAATTGTTTTTCCTAAAAAATAATAATAATAATAATAATAATAATCTAGCATACCTAAAGCACTTCAATCTCCAGTACTGGGGGAAAAAAATCTTAGTCTTTTTAACAATACACTCATCTTTCTCATTTTGACCAACTATGCTGATTACCTAGACTGATTTTTACAACTAGCAAAGACCTACCAAAATCAGGGGAAAATATGATTAAAAACAAAATATGCTTCCCAAAGAAAACAAGTATTTTTGAGAATATTAAGACTTCATGGGCTGGTGAGATGGCTCAGTGGTCTAAAGCACCTACTTGGAACAAGCTAAGCAAAGCAAAGTACAGGGACCGCGGTTCAATCCCGCAGCACCACATGCCAGCCAGCCCCGCCCCCTGGTGGGCTGAGCTGGCCACACACACACAAAATAACTAATTAAATAAATACACTATTTAAAAAAAAAAAAAAAAAAAGACTTCATTCTTGGGGGCCGAGGAGATGGCCAAGGGCCTGAGTTCAATCCCAGGTTCCGGAAAAAAAAAAAAATTCTTAACCAGATGGCACAGGCCTGTAATCCCAGCATGTGGGAGGCTGAGACATGACTTGAATTTGGGGCCAGCTGTAGGTAGTCAATTCAAGGCTAGCCTGGACTACATATGGGAAACCCTGTCTCAACTCCTCCCCGCCAAAAAGATTTGACTGTGGGCTCTTTATTAAATTATCAATCATCACGCATTCATATGTAATTAGCAAAATTGCTAAGAACTTTATTAGTTTACCAGTTACTGGAACTGGAATCTCCATTTTGTGTAGAAATTTTGAAGCCGAGTCATGTTTCTTAAAAAAAAAAAAAAATGGGAGACCGACCAAATAGCTCAAAGGATTAAAGCGCGCAGAGGCTGGGTAGGGTCTGCAATGCCGGTCCCGCCCTGGGGCGCACTGAGATGGCAATTGAGACTGGGCTTGCTGGGGCGAGCCTGTAATCCCAGCTCTAGGGAGGCTGGAAATATGCGGATCAATACGAAATCCAATCTAGTAATGTGACCCTGAACACCTATAGACCCTTCCCTAAAATACAAAAAGAAAAATACTGAGCTATCAAAATGCCCCCCCCAAGAAAAGCCCTATATACCTACAGCACAAGTCTAGGTTAATATAAGGCATTTTGTCCCCTCAAGAAAAGAATTATTTTATTTTTTAAAGAATTTTTAATTATTGAAAAAAAAAACCCAGATAAATATACAGCTTTATTCTCTTAATTCAATGAATAGAAAGATTTGTTCTAACAGTACTTATAAACAGGATACCATGTCTGCATCTTGTACAATGAATAACCACTAAGACAACAATATGCAATGTATTAATTATTAAAACTGTGGGGCTAGGGAGACGGCTCAGTAGAATAAGCGCTTGCCTAGAAACTGTCCTACTAATCGG